ATTGAAACTGCTAGCGTATTTATGCAGAGGTTGGCTTTTTTAAAAACTGCACTGAAACTGCGCCGAACATCCGCACGTGTATCCATAGCCTCAGAGCTGCTGGGAGAATTATATTCGAAACGGCTGTGAGGATTATTTTCAGATTGGATGGGAGGATTATCTCCAGAGCGGTTTTGAGGATTATCTTCAGAGCGGCTGGGAGGATTATATTCAGGTTGGATGGGAGGATTTTCTTCATTGCGACTGAGAGGATTATCTTCATATGGACTAAGTGAATTATCCGCAGTGCTGATGGGAGGATTATCTTCAGAGCAGCTGGGAGGATCATCTTCAGAGCGATTGAGAGGAAACTGAGAGGATTAATTTAAAAGCTTTTGGGAGGATTTTCTTTGTTGTGATTGAGCAGATGATCTTAATATGGATTGAGTGAATTATCCACAGTGCAGATGGGAGGATTATTTCCAGAGCGGTTGTGTGGATTATCTTCATAGCGGCTGGGAGGATTATCTGCAAAGTGTCTAGAAGGATTAATTTAGGAGCGGCTGGGAGGATTATCTTCAGAGTGGCTGTAGAGGTAGGCAATTTTGGTGCTTTTTTTTAAATTGGCACTTCCGTGGGGCCCAGCGCACAACCCAGCCTCTCATTAAAGGGATGGTTCACCTTCAAACAACTAGTTGTTTTCCGATAGATCACCAGAAATAATGACATTTTCCAATGACTTTCTATTTTCTATGTGTCGCAGTTTTTCAAATATTGAAGTGTAAAGTGTCATTTTTTACCTTCTGAAGCAGCCCTGGGGGTCGCCGACTCTGTAAACTGTTCTAAATGGATACATTTAGTTGATACATTTCTTATCTTTGTCCCTGCTGAGCAGAATCTCTGGGTTTCATTACAGGCAGCTGTTAGAATTGATACAATAGTTGCTAATACTTCAGAGATGCTGCTGAGAAATGTATCAACTTAATGTTCCAAAATTGTAACAGTTCAGAGTCTGCACCTGATTTACTGAGCTGCTAGAATCAAACACCAGAGACAGGAACATTCAACTTTCCATAAATAATGGAAAGTAATTGAAAAAAGTTTTCATTTCCAGGGAACAATCTAAAAACAACTGAATTGAAAAAAGTCTTTGGAAGGTGAACAACCCCTTTACAGAGGGTCCAGTATATCCATTTAGCTGTAAATTTAGTGACATATTCAGGGGCTGTAGCTGAGATTTCCTCAGAATGGTATAATTCACTCATTTTGTTTATCCAGTCCTGGATTATTGGGGGCTGCAGCGATTTCTATCATGTGGGGGATCAGCAGTTTTGCCACATTGAATAGATGAGGTGCTATAGTAGAGAGGGACAGTGAAACATTTCTGGGACCATATAAAGGAACAAGGATACAGGCTGAGTTATACAGGGAACAATGAGTATA